GCGTTATGCAAATCTTCCCACATAGTGACGTAGACATGTGTGGGCGTGTTAGAACGAGCTGTTTTAGGTAGGTGTGGCTGACTCTTAACTTTTATAAAGAATATCTCTTTGGATTTGAGACTTTAGTCTTTGCAACTTTACAGATCTTCTTTATGCACCAAGAGCTTGTAACACTCCAAAGAGAAAGGAAAAATTTAAATCGCATCATATGACCCCCTTTAATGCATTTGGCAGATGCTTTTATCGAAAGTGCTTAGTGCAGTTGTGGTCTAATGATTAGAGAGTCGGACTTGTAACCCAAAGTTCTTGGGTTTGATTCTCAGTTCAGTCAGGAAATGTAGGTGGAGGGAGTGAATCAACAGCACTCTCTTCCACCTTCAATATCCACGACTGAGGTGCCCTTGAGCAAGGCAGCCCCAATTGCTTCCTGGGTACAGCTGCAAAAATGGCTGCCCACTGCTCCGGGTGTGTGTTCACAGTGTGTGTGTCTGTTTAATACTCACTGCTCTGTGTGTGCACTATCTTGGATAGGATCAATGCAGATGACAAATTCTAAGTATGGGTTACCATACTTGGCCTACACATCACGTCACTTTTATCCTTGGCATTGCTAGTGCAATGCTCTACTGTTTGAGCTACAGGAATAATTTTTGAAGTATGCAATTTTGGATGCAGCCACAGTGTACCATGAAGAGCACTACATAAGTAAATGTGATTTGTCTTGTTTGCAGAATCGAATCTGAGGATATATTTGAAAATCCCCCATTTACTATTTTCTGCATTACTCCACTAATACACTGTAGCCCACTCAATGAGTAAATGAAAACGAGCGAGCAAATTCAGACACTGAGTGTGCAGAAAGTGCATCATGCAGCATCTTTTAGCTAGATGCGGCAATTAATTCAGTGTGACGCTCGCAGAGGAGTGGGTATTCTCTAGAAGCAAACCGTTCAGCAAGCCATACATCGGTTGTACACTCATTATTGAGGTACATTATGGGAGTGAATGAGTGCACCTGATGATGTCCTGTGTGGTTTCAAACACCATTACACGTGGCTGTTCCTTCAAATAGTGCAATATACTGTATAAGGGTTTTGTTTTTAGTCTAGGCATTTTATTTTTTTTTAGTGATGCTGGGAACCTTAAAGCACTTTTATCATATATGTTGGTTAATGTTTGTGGTGTCTGTAAAATGTGGAAGATGTAAGAACTCATAACACTGCAAACCTAGTCTACCTATGGGTACAAATAAAGTGAACCTGAACCTGGGGTTGATTACAGACACAGCCCATCTTTGTACAGCATATTTGACTTTTTAGGATGTTTAGTGATTCCCTCAGTTTTCTCAGCTCCAAAGCTGCTTGTGTAATACAGGTTGACAAAACTTTCTATCATGCTACAAAAAGACGAGCTACTGAAAAATGTAGTTAAGTTTTTAATGTCACTACTAGTAGTGTTAGATGAAAGTACTTATCTGTCCACCCATCTCTCCATCAGTCTTTCTGTGCAGAGAGTCCATTCTTACCTTGTTCTTCATGAACTTTGAGTGGTTCTTATAGACTTCCATCTGTTTGACGTCTTCATCCCGGCCATCTGTGTGTAAAAGGCCATTTGTCTTTATCGTTTGGATCTCGTCCTCCAGGCCTCGAATATTCCGCTCGAGTGATGCAATTTTGGTGTCCTGTGTGGGATATGTGATTTACAAAAAAGCCAAGTGTGTGATGTTATGGAAAAAAAAGGTCAAAAAGATCTTTCAAACAAACAATGACTGTTAACCTAACCTATTTATCTATCTGAGTCTGTAAGGCCTTGAATCTTCCAACTTGAAGACTTTATCTATTATCATCATCACACAAAGCCAACATTGAAAATTTGTCTTGACAAACTTTCCTGAAATTCTGTATTTCCTTAATTTCAAATTGTAGTTCTGCATACTACTGCAAATACAATTTAGTTTTTGGATTGGAATTTTAAAGGTACTCTGTGAAGCTAGAAAATTTTAAAATTCTAAAATTCAAAACTCAGATTTTCAGATGTACAAAAACTAGGCCAAATGTCAGGCTTGCAGGTTAATTTTATGGAGGACTGTTTCCTGATCCTGGGAGAGTAGACTACAATGCCGGCTGTTTTGACTCAAAGACTGTAAGTACATTTTTTATATTTAAAGAGTTTTTATATTTTATATAATTAAAGCTTGATTTTTGGGCAGTGTAGAATAGGGCTTGTTGTTTGTCATTTCTCCGATTACAAATGCAGACATGGTTTTATGTTTACGCGGCGCTTTGTAAAAATCGACACGTTTCAGGTGGGGCATAGAGGAGAAACAATAATGTAAGGTATGTGGAAAATAATGTGTTTTTTGAACCTAAACCGCATAAACACATTTCATTACACCAAATACACAAAATAATGTACTTTTTAGCAGCATCATATGACCCGTTTAAGAAAACAAGTCTAAAAGGGACAAGTGTTGTTTTTTTTAAAGAATAGAATTAGAATAGAGAGTGCTATTAAAGCTTGATTTTTGGGCAGTGTAGAGTAGGGCTTGTTGTTTGTCATTTCTCCGATTACAAATGCAGACATGGTTTTATGTTTACGCGGCGCTTTGTAAAAATCGACACGTTTCAGGTGGGGCATAGAGGAGAAACAATAATGTAAGGTATGTGGAAAATAATGTGTTTTTTGAACCTAAACCGCATAAACACATTTCATTACACCAAATACACAAAATAATGTACTTTTTAGCAGCATCATATGACCCGTTTAAGAAAACAAGTCTAAAAGGGACAAGTGTTGTTTTTTTTAAAGAATAGAATTAGAATAGAGAGTGCTAGAGTTAGAGGGTCAAATAAAGATGTAAGAGATGTGTTTTTAGTCGAACAATGACTGTTAACCTAACCTATTTATCTATCTGAGTCTGTAAGGCCTTGAATCTTCCAACTTGAAGACTTTATCTATTATCATCATCACACAAAGCCAACATTGAAAATTTGTCTTGACAAACTTTCCTGAAATTCTGTATTTCCTTAATTTCAAATAGTAGTTCTGCATACTACTGCAAATACAATTTAGTTTTTGGATTGGAATTTTAAAGGTACTCTGTGAAGCTAGAAAATTTTAAAATTCTAAAATTCAAAACTCAGATTTTCAGATGTACAAAAACTAGGCCAAATGTCAGGCTTGCAGGTTAATTTTATGGAGGACTGTTTCCTGATCCTGGGAGAGTAGACTACAATGCCGGCTGTTTTGACTCAAAGACTGTAAGTAAATTTTTTATATTTAAAGAGTTTTTATATTTTATATAATTAAAGCTTGATTTTTGGGCAGTGTAGAGTAGGGCTTGTTGTTTGTCATTTCTCCGATTACAAATGCAGACATGGTTTTATGTTTACGCGGCGCTTTGTAAAAATCGACACGTTTCAGGCGGGGCATAGAGGAGAAACAATAATGTAAGGTATGTGGAAAATAATGTGTTTTTTGAACCTAAACCGCATAAACACATTTCATTACACCAAATACACAAAATAATGTACTTTTTAGCAGCATCATATGACCCGTTTAAGAAAACAAGTCTAAAAGGGACAAGTGTTGTTTTTTTTAAAGAATAGAATTAGAATAGAGAGTGCTAGAGTTAGAGGGTCAAATAAAGATGTAAGAGATTTTTTAGTCGTTTCTTGAAGATGGCTAAGGACTAAGGCTAAGTGATTTTGTGCTTCTTTGAGATGGCACAATAAAGCGACGTTCACTTGCAGAACGCAAGCTTCTAGAGGGCACATAAGTCTGAAGTAATGAATTTAGGTAAAGGGGTGCAGAGCCAGTGTTTGGTTTTGTATTTTGTAGTTTTGTTTTATTTATTTTATTTATAATATATATCTATTTATTTTATTGTTTTATTTATTCTCCTTGTGTCTGCATTCCTGTGCTGTTTCGTTGTTTATGTCTGAGAGTCATTGTCATATGTGTGTATGTTCCTCTGGCCTTGCCTTGCTGTGCTGTGCTGTGCCCTGTCTTGGCCGGCCTGCCCACCTGCCTGTTTTTCCCCTCGGGGTAGTTTCTGTTAGTTTTGTTTGGTTTTTACTATTAATAAATGCCTATTCGTTCCTGCATTTGAGTCCTCGCCTCATCTCTCTCCATTTCCCTGACAGAACAATCACAAAGCTACTACAATTTCCTGGCACAGTATAGGTCACAAGATTGAATATGGTTACTTTTTCTACAATTTCTTTTTGATTCTTTTTGTTCCACCATAAAAAATATCAAATTCAGAGCCATCTATAGTGTTTTAATCAAATCTATAAAATGACACAAAAACAATTCAAAAACAAGTTTTTATAAATGTCACATATAGAATTCAAATTATAAGTTTACTTCTTTGTATACACCAATGAGCCATTGCATTGTGACCACCCCCAGCCAAAAGCAATGAGTGCGCCTGGCAACCGAATGGTGCAGCAGGTGCAGTTCACAAAGCAGTATATATACCACCTGAGGACCAACTTTCAGTCAGTAGAGTGTTTGATGTCAGAATGAGAAAAGCTGTTGATTTATTATTTGATAAAGGACAAATTGTGATAGCACAGCGCCTCTGAACTTCGATCTTGAAAATGGCATATTTATTTTATTTATAATATATATCTATTTATTTTATTGTTTTATTTATTCTCCTTGTGTCTGCATTCCTGTGCTGTTTCGTTGTTTATGTCTGAGAGTCATTGTCATATGTGTGTATGTTCCTCTGGCCTTGCCTTGCTGTGCTGTGCTGTGCTGTGCCCTGTCTTGGCCGGCCTGCCCACCTGCCTGTTTTTCCCCTCGGGGTAGTTTCTGTTAGTTTTGTTTGGTTTTTGCTATTAATAAATGCCTATTCGTTCCTGCATTTGAGTCCTCGCCTCATCTCTCTCCATTTCCCTGACAGAACAATCACAAAGCTACTACAATTTCCTGGCACAGTATAGGTCACAAGATTGAATATGGTTACTTTTTCTACAATTTCTTTTTGATTCTTTTTGTTCCACCATAAAAAATATCAAATTCAGAGCCATCTATAGTGTTTTAATCAAATCTATAAAATGACACAAAAACAATTCAAAAACAAGTTTTTATAAATGTCACATATAGAATTCAAATTATAAGTTTACTTCTTTGTATACACCAATGAGCCATTGCATTGTGACCACCCCCAGCCAAAAGCAATGAGTGTGCCTGGCAACCGAATGGTGCAGCAGGTGCAGTTCACAAAGCAGTATATATACCACCTGAGGACCAACTTTCAGTCAGTAGAGTGTTTGATGTCAGAATGAGAAAAGCTGTTGATTTATTATTTGATAAAGGACAAATTGTGATAGCACAGCGCCTCTGAACTTCGATCTTGAAAATGGCATACCTTGTGGGTTGTACACATGCCGGTGTAGTGAGTACATATCAAAGTGTGCACAGATGGCAAAATTACAAACTGTCGTCCAGCCTTGTGTCGTCTGCAGCTCATTGATGCCAGAGGGGAGCGTAGACTGTCTGCACAGCAGACTGTTGCAAGTGCAGGGCTGCAGTGTGACAAATCATCAGCAGCTACAACAGTGGTGACCAGGGCAATGTGTTACAGCAACTGTACAATGTGTTACAGTTCATCACAGCCTTCTATGTATGGGTCTGTGTAGCCGACCACCCAGCTGGGTCCTCATGCTTACATACATTCATGCATTGTTGGGGATACATGCTTATCCCCAACAATGCATGAAATGGGCCCAGGTTCATCAAGATTGGACCGTGGATGATTGGAAGAAAGTGGCCTGGTCTGACAAATCAAGATTCCTGGTGTATCACGTTGTCAGCTGAGCGTGGATACACAGATTACCAACAGAGGCTATGGCACCGGCGGCTGTGTTATGCTGTGGGTGATGTATCGTGTTTGTCCCAATATCAGTATATTTGATGGAGCTATACGATAAACACACAATGGAGGCCGAGTGCATTTCGACTAGCAACTGTTCGCAGTATATACAGGGTCACACAGCGCCCTCAAGAGCATAATACAACAATTGCAGGATAACCCAATTCCGGACACTAAATACATAACATTTCCTCCCAACTTAAATAAAAGCAACCATAGACAACAAAGAAGTATTACCAACACATCTTACTCAAACTTACTCTGTATGAGTCTGTCTTTAACAATATACATTAAGATGCTTGATAACGGTCAGGTGGTCTAATGAGACGGGTAGGATAGCTTTTTAAAATCTCTCATTTGTGCCATCTCAGAAGATGCTGTGTCCATGTTACCTGACCCTGAGCTATCAGTTATCACATCCACAAGATCGTTAGTCTTTTCACTGATATTCTCCTAAAGGGAATGTGCTTGGGAATTATCAGAACAAACAGGAACATCTGGTTCAACTGGGGTCTCAGAGGATGGAGCTCCCTGTCTAAACATTTGATCCACATGACGTTTCCAGGATCGAGCAGCACCCACGTTAACGATGTAGGAGACAGGTCCCGTTCTTGACATTACCACTCCAGGTATCCATTTTTTCTTCCTCTGTAGTCACGAACAAGGACAGAGTCTCCAAAATGAAATTCTCTCAACTTAGAGTGTTCTTGGCATTATAACTGCTGAGCATCCTGGGACTGACTCATGGTTCTGGCAAGACAAGGTTTAGGGAGATCTAGTTGGGTTCTTAATTTGCAATTGAGGAATAACATTGCAGGTGATTCCTTAGTAGTAGCATGAGGAGTATTTATGTATGTTCACAGGAATTCATCAAGTCTCTGTTGGATAGAAGCTGACCCCCTGGAAGCTTTCAGAGCGTGTTTGAGTGTTTGGACAAAACATTCAGCTTGCCCATTACTAGAGAGGTGATAGGGTGCAGAGTGAATGTGTTGCACCTCATTTGCCTTCAGAAAGAATGAGAATTCCTCAGCGCAAAATTGTGGGCCGTTGTCAGTGACAATGATATTAGGGACACCATAATGACTGAAAAGTCCCTGCAAGACTTGAATGGTTTTGCTTGTGGCAGTGCTGTCCATGATGGAGACTTCAGTCCATTTAGAGTGTGCATCAACTTCAATGAAGTACATATGGCCTTCAAAGGGACCAGCAAAATCCACATGTATACTTTCCCAAGGATGAGTTGGCCAAATCCATGGGTGAAGTGGTGCTGGACAGGGGGAATTTTGGATACGTTGACATGACTGACATGATTTAGACTAAATCATGTCCATCGATACCTGGCCCCCAGACGTAGTTACGAGCCAGATGTTTCATCCTTACCACCCCAGGATGGACCTCCCAGTGGCGGAGTTTGGGAGGTACAATAACACAACTTCCCCAAATTAAACATCCTTGCATGACTGTGAGCTCATGACGATGAGTCATGAAAGGTAGCAAGTCTGTGGGTACATCTTTAGGTTTGGGGAACTGTCCCGATGAAACCATGTCCAGCACAGATGACAAGGTGGGATCCATTAGGGTGTCACGTTTAATTTCAGCATTACTGACAGGCAGGGTGGCTACCTGGAACACATCCACTGTGTCCATTTACTCTGTGTGTGTCACTGGCAATGGCGGCCGTGAAAGTCTGTCCGGTATTAGCATGTTGAGCTGCTTTCTTATACTCAAGGTCATAATCATGGGCGGCTAAAAGCAAAGCCCATCGTTGCATTCTGGCTGCTACCATGAGTGGAATGCTCCTGTTGGGACTAAGAATAGCAGTTAGCAGTTGATGATCAGTGAGGAGGGTAAACTTCCTTCCGTATAAGTACTGATGGAATTTGCAAATTCCAAAAATTATGCTCAGGACCTCACGTTCAATCTGAGCATAATTTCGTTCCGCTTTACTGAGTGTCCTGGACGCGAAAGCAATTGGCTTTTCCTCACCATCATGGCACAGATGCGATATCACATCGCAACCAACCCCATATGGGGAAGCATCACAGGTGAGATGAATGGGTTGCTCTGGGTAGCTCATAATGCGTGAGTACAGCTGGTGAGGTAAGGAGATCCTTTGCTTCTTGGAATGAGTTTTCACAGGCCACACTCCAGTACCATTTTTTTTCTTTACAGAGAAGAGAATTAAGTGGCTTCAAAACAGATGCCAAATTTGGAATGAAACGGCCAAAGTAGTTAATCATTCTGAGAAAAGAGAGTAATTGACTTATGCTGGCTGGTGTGGGCACTTCCATAATTGCTTTAATCTTTTTTGGTGATTTGTGTAGTCCAGCGGCATCTATGTAATGACCCAGATACTCCAGTGAGTCTGAAAAATTAAAATTTTTCACACTGCAATTTCAGACCATATTTTTCCAGTCTAGTGAGAACTTGGTCTAGTGTCTTGAGGTGTTCCTCATAATCCCGTCCTGTTATGAGTATGTCGTCTATATAGCATTGAGTGTTTGGAATCCCCAAGAGAACTTTATCCATTGTTTTCTGAAATAATGCAGAAGCCGGGGCAATCCCGAGGGGTAAACGGTTATAGCAAAATAGCCCTTTTTGAGTGGATATGGAAAGTGATTTCCACGACTCCTGTGCTACTGGTATCTGCCAGTAAGCATTTGACAAGTCCAGCTTACTGAATAAATGACCACCAGCCAGAGATGCAAAAAGATCTACTATGTGTGGAAGTGGGTAGTGGTCCACACAAATGGCTGGGTTGAGTGTCACTTTAAAATCACCACACAGTCTCACTGAACCATCTTTCTTGATCACTGGTACCACAGGTGTGGCCCACTCACTGTACTGTATTGGTGAAATCACTCCCATTTCTTTTAAATGTTTTAATTCAGCCTCTACTTTTGGTAGAATAGCGTACGGCTGATAGAATTTTGGAGTATGATCAGGCTTGAGCCTAATTTTAGCTTCAATTCCTTCCATGGTGCCCAGTAATTTCCCAAAAACTTTGGAGTGCGTTTTAACACAGTTTCTATAGAGTCTGCAACTCCATGCTTGACTGTTTTTATGTCTTGCCAATTAAGTATTATAGATCTCAGCCATGCTCTACCAAATAATGGTGGGGTATCACAGTTAACCACATACCGTGGCAATCGTGCAGACTGATTGTTCAATTTTACCGCTACGTTGATGACCCCTACTGGTGCTAGTGCTTCTCCAGTGTATGTTTTTAAAATGATGTCATCGGTTGCAATGGAATATGCTACAAGTCATTATAATATTTTTCCTTTGAAATTAGCGACACTGTATCCAATTCCATCACAATCATGTTTCCTTCAATTTCTGGAGTTAATTAAATGTGTGCGAGTTGCTCTCTTTTGGTTACCATATACAGTGACATTTCCTTCTCTGTATCTGTACTCCACTCACCAATTTGTCTTTTACATGGCTTAAACTTTTTCTCGTGCTTTCTTTCTCTCTCAAAGTTGATTTTATTTCTGCACACGCATCTGATGTGGCCTTTCTTTCCACACGAATGGCAGGCTTGATCTTTGTACCAGCAGTCCTCATCCGTGTGGTTCGTTTTCCCACATCTCTTGCAATTGCGTTGCTGTTTGGGTGAGGAAACATGCATTGCATTTACCTTGAGGGAAGTGCTGAGCTGCTGCGCTTCGCGAGCGACGGTCTCTGTGGCCACCGGGATCTCTACAGCTTTGTGAAAAGTAAGTGCCGCCTCTGTGAGAAGTCACTTTTGGATCGCTTCGTTGCATAATCCACAAACAAATCTATCCCTTAGAGCATCCGCCAAGTGTGTACCAAAATCACGATGTTCAGAGAGTTGTTTTAAAACTGCTACATATTGTGCAAACGTCTCTCCTTCCTCTTGATTGCGTTTGTGGAAATGGAATCATTCTGCTATTATGAGGGTCTTTGGCGAAAAATGTTTTATTAACGTCATAATCTCCTGATACGTCTTTTCTCCTGGTTTAGCAGGTGCAATCAAGTTACGTAGACTACTGTACGTTTTAGTGCCCATAACACTTAACAACACTGGTACTCGTTTTTCCTCATCAATATCATTGACCATTGTGAAGTGTTCAAACCGTTCAATATATGCTGTCCACTGGTCGATGGTCTCATCAAAAGCATCAACATGCCCGATAGTCGTCATTCTGTTCGTGGATTATCTTGACTTGACCCCCTGCTTGCCGTCAGCGTTTTCAGCAACGATGTACACTCATTTTCATCAGAAAAGTATGCTGGTTTATATCAGTCTGTACCAGTACAATATTAAAATCAATATTTCCACTCCTCATCGCCAATTTGTGAATCGGTGAATTTCTGCTAATGCCTTGGCCTCAAAATTCACCTGACATGAACCCAATCAAAAAACGGGTTTACACTACAGTACATCACCACAACCCCGCAATGTACTTGTTACGGAGTAATCAGAACATGAGATGTGCGGATCCATGTGCAAGGCTTTATTACAAAGGCGTGGTCGAAAAAATGGGCAAGGGTCAGATAACAACACAGGTACATCACAGGCAAGGTAAAGAGTATTCCTAGGGCAGGCGAGGGTCTTCGATCGGCGAACGTAATCCAGAGGGCAAGGCAAACGAGTAATCCACAAACAGGCGATAGTCCAGTAAAGGGGCAAACAGAGTCCAAACAACAAGGCGAGAGAAATCCAAGGCAGGCAGATAATCACGCAAAACAACGAGACTAGACTAGACTAGAACTAGGAACTAATACAAGACTTGGAAAAGGGCTCCGTAACATTGCTATCACTAACGTAGCGATATGAGCAAACAATACTCGGCAATGAGAAGGATCTTAGTGGGTGTTTTATAGTGTGTGTCATTGGTTGCAGGTGAGAGAGTGTAATCAGTTAAGTGGAGCATGGGAAATGTAGTCCGTGGTGACGTGTAACAGTCTGTGTAGTGAGAGAGTCAACATAATGGACGAGCGACCTCTGGTGGCAATCGGACTGAAGTCCACTGACCAGATTCGTACTGGAACTGAACGGCCTGCTTGTGGTTCATCTGTGTATATAACTATAAAATCAGCTCACCAAAAAAATCTATTCAGCAAAATGTCACATCTAAAGGCCTGTTCACAACAGCACCATTTTTTTAGCCTGAAAATTTGGTCTGATTTCTACATGCAATTTGTATTTTCAGACCAATATGAAAAAAACAGCCAATCAAAAATGCTAATTCAGTAGGTGGTGCTTATGGAAAATCAGAAATACAGTGGTACACAAACAGAAACTTTCTGTTTCTGGCAACCTCTAACACTATTCACTTGCTCTTAGCAAGATAGTCTGTTTGTGTGTGCAGGATGTAGTTTTATGCTATGATGCCAGGCACATGACCAAAAGCACAAATCTTATAGGTTGTCTTTTTTATCTATTTTTTTCTTCTTTTTTTTTTGTTTGTTTTTTTTGCAACATGATGGAAAATAGATTAGAATGTGGGTTTGCAGCACATTATTTGTGCTGTCTTTTTTACATGTTCTATTATGAAATAGCCAGTTTTATAAAGACCTTTATATAATTTTTAAAGCATGACTTGGATCATTGTTTTTTAGAAATTAGAACAGCTCTAAAAACAAAAGAAATCTGTCACAGATTTCTATCACGGCATAAGAATGTTTGTGGTGGTTAGATCAGACACATTAACAATGATTTATTTATTATTATTAATATGATTATAAATGATTATTTATTCAAATTAAAATATTTATGGCAAATCATTTTTACACAACATTTACCTTGGTGTGAACAGACTATACAAATTCATAATTTTAAAAATCTATTTTTTTTTGTCATTTTTCAAGCTCTATAGAAATCAGAATTTAATTTATAATGGTGTACAACCCTGTTAGGAAGTGGCATGGAAAAAAAGTGCATTAAATGCATTAAAAGTGCATTATGCTGTTATAAACATGAATACAATGAAATTCATGAAAAGAAGTTCACAACATTAATTTAAAATTTAACTTAGATATACAACATAATATTAGGGTTGCCGAAAGTTAATGTATGATTAATTGCATATATATAACACCTGCTTATTAGTTAATTATTAAGAAAGAGCCTTACTAATTATGTATTTATTTATTTTATTTAGTTCTCTTGGAACTGAATGCATTAATGCATTAACTAAAAACAAAATGTGTGTTATTACAGTTTAACATTTTGATTGACAACTCATTTTTATTTTTTGACAAGCAATTCTATGCATACAAGAGAAAAAGTAGTGTGTACTATACCTTCCATATGAAATCAGGCTCATAACACAAAGCTGGTGATGTTCTCTGAAACACATGACATGACATATATATCAGCACACTTTAATTGTATAAGAATGCATACAAAATACATCAAATTACTTCCACGGGGATAACCATAAAAAGATGCTGCTTACCCACACACAAATACAGCACAAACTTCACCATTTGCAATAAGAGCAGTGTGTTAGAAAGCAGTTTAGCTGCAGAATTAGCTGCTTATGTAATAAAAACCTGGAAGTAGAAAACAAGTCGTTTTGGCAGCTTGGTTTTAATTACTGGACTAACAAGGAAGTTTTGTGTTCTGAAACTTACAGTAGATTATATATATATATATATTTTCTTGTGAGCTTTCT